TTGTAGTTTTTGTTTTTTTTTTTTTTTGTTTTTGGGGGGGGGGGGGGGGTTTTCGGTAGAGTAGCAGAAATGGCTGAAGTTACCCTTTTGTTTAAACTGCAATCCAAACCACACATCTGTTTAAGCATAAAGCATTGTTGTTTTTAATATTAAATGTCGAAGAAGGCATCAAAATGAAGTTAAATGCTTATTTAAACAGTTAAAACTGGTAGGTTGTAGACTAAAAAGCTTTAAGGAACACGTTTTGGTCAGGCAGACGGGGAGTGGCGTGCACCCTCACATTAGCACGCCAGACAAAAACAGTTTAACCCCCCACCCACCTCTCAATTAATCGGCCTGCAACACCACCAGCACCATATTTTAACACATTTAACAGTAAACCGACGATAAGTCAAACTGTTCTATCTAAACATTTCTACAATAAAAAAAAAGAAAAGTGGCTTTTTTTTTTTTTTTTTTTACATAAACTGCGGATATTTTAGCCAACATATCAGCTTACCAGAAACGCTGCAGTGAAGCCAACTGTACTGCTGACCACGCGTTTCCCCTTTCTGAGCACAATGACACGGCAGCGTTGGACCCTGACACGAACACGCTCGTCTCTTCAAGGGGGGGAAAAAAAGAGAAAGAAACGGAAACTCCCGGGAACGCGCAAATGGGCGTGTCCCTGGCCACGCCCCTCTGGACCGGAAGAACAGTGAATTTATGCATCCATGATAATATTACTGTGGTTAGTTTAATCCGCAGTCTAAATTATAATTTAATGAACATGTTGTGTATTTCGGTAAAGTTAGAAAAATATAACTTCACCACACACGTTTTTTTGAGGTAGTAAAATATAATTCACAAAATTAAATCAAACCATTTTTAAAAAGAGTTTAAATACGGAAATGGTACACCTTGCATAAGGGCAGGTTGCCGAGAGGTCCGAAGCTGTCTTTTCAGATGAAAGTTAATTTTGCATTTTATTTTGAAATCTAAGTCCCAACCCTGGAAAAAGAGTGGTGAGGCACACATGGCTTGAGGTCCTGTAGGAAGATTCCACATTCAGTGGTGATTTGGGAATCATATAATTTGCTGCACTGTGTTTTTCAAAGTTCTCAAATTGGGCTGCCATGTACCAGGAAATGGTAAATGTGTCCTTTTTGTGGAGAGGCTGATGTAACTTCAACCACATCGATGCAGTAATTCATGCAAAACAAGCTCCAACCAAGACTGCACAGTACATGGAAATGCCTTTCAGTGGGTCAACATTTCTGTATGTAGAATTCAAATTCGAAGAAAAAAAAAAACAAAACAAAAAAACCTGAACCTGCACGAGTTTCCTCTTTTGGACTGAATTACTGAATAAAGTAGCTCTTTAGAACTAGGTCAATCAGAACAAAATACTTTCCATCGTAGTTATCTTTTAGTTTTAATTGAGTATTTGGTTTTAGATTACCATAACTTATCTTAAAATGTGTTTGAAAAGAAATCCAGCAGAATAAAACAAATCACAAATTTTTATTTTTGAAATATTTTAAAATTTATGTGCATTCTTGTGCATCTTATACACTGTTTCTGCTATTCTGTAGTACTCTCTGTCATTTATACAGCAGTTTATACAGCAGTTGTCAGTAATATAAATGCTGTTATCTCATATGCAAAGCTAAACATGTAAAATACAGCTCTTCTTATAAGTCCATCTCGCCGACACAAAGGATAGTTATTCTGGATACATACAAGGCCGTTTCTGTATTGAGCTCTGTATTTAGATTTGGTTGGATTACACAATACAACCAAAAAAGTGAAGTAAGTATTTCAACTTAGTGTATAATGTCCATTCTTCCGTCAGGGCACTGTGCTACCAGTTGTTTTTGTGGAAACATGTTGTGCAAGTTTTTTTTATAAGTTTATTTTTATTTGTTGTTGTGTATCATCTCTTTGTTTTTTATGCCTATGTTACATGAGTCAATAAACTCATAAACTCTTATTTATTTTATAAAAATAAATAAGTTTTATCACAGATCCTTCCTCCCAGCAGCTGTAAGATTCTACAAAAATTCCTACAATTATTTGCACACTTTTCCATATTCTTGTTAGTAGTCTGTCATTGTCGCACAAATGTACAGATTACAGTTTGTAAAGTTCTTTAATGAGTTCACTCAGTTTATACATATCATAGAATCAGGCTACCATGTTATTAATTTGATATATGTATCTCAATGCTTCCATTTCCCTGTCACTTTTATGCGAGTACAAATGAATTCCCCCAGTGAGAAAGAATAAGAAAAATTTCTATTCTAATTTATGTAAATTACACCATTCTTATCTCAAAGCAGAGGGGAAAACTGGCACAAGCAGTGGATCATTCTGCCTGGCTCTATCTACTCAAGACCAAAGATGGGAAAAAAAGGGAAAAATATACTTCTTATAAACTATTTTTTTTTCTTTTCCTAATGTTCATGGAGCAAAAGGAAACCTAGAACAAACCAAGTCACTTAAAATACAAATGAAAAGAATAGTATCTGTCTCCCAAACATTTCTATTTAGACAATAATCTCCAGTACTTTACAGAGATATTACACCAAAAGAAATGAATGTAAGGAGCACTTCCCTATAAATCCCAATGAGGCGGGGGTCAAATTAACATTCTGAGCACTTCTTAATCAGGAACGATGCTCAGTGTTCAGTCTGATATCCTCACTGAATACAGTGCTTTACGAAGCTTTATTGTTGATGACAGGATTGTGAGCCCTTTGTTCCCAACCTGACCAGAACAGTTCAATAATCACCACACTTTCCTCATTCTAGGGTCTCTGGTTTCTCATTGGCATCTTCCTCCTTCTCCTCCTCCTCCTCTTCATTCTCTTCATGTTCCTCATTTTCTGAGGACTGTTGCTGATTTTGCAGCTGTTCCTTTGCTTCATCAAGTGCCTAAAAGGAAAACAGTTGTCTGGTCAGAGATAAAAACAAAAATACTTTTAAATAAAATTAAGACAGAAAACATAAAACCTTTTGGATCGCATTCAGTGCCATGCCATCATTCTCAAGTTCAGCAAGGTTCAAAGCTTTCTCAAACAAAGATACAGATGATTCAAAGTTTCCCAGTTTCACTAAAACAGCAGAAAAAAAAAGAAAAAACACAATGTGACATCGCTTTAAACCATCACGCAAGGATTAAACCAACAACATTAGCGCTTTTATTAGTTTAACAAACAAACAAAACAAAACAAAAAGTCCTCAAATTTGGAAACTACTCCAAATGATCAAAATATAAAACAAAAAACGGAATTACATTCAGACTGTCCAACCAAAACGGTGGCTCTTAACTGCCACATATCGTCAAACATTTCCTCAGCCACAGCAATAGAACGTAGACCGTAGTCTCTGGCTTTCTTTGGATCATTGAGCTCTAGATAACAGCAGCCGATCTCATGCAGCATCCAGGTATTCTCCAAACCTTCATGAATATAAGGAATCCTCTCTTCCCAGCTGAATCATGACAAAAAGAAATGCAGAAGAAACTGAATTTAGATGTTTTTAGAAGCATAGTGTGTAGTGTTTTCTATACTTACAACTCTATGGCTTTTTCAAACTGTTTAGTTTCTGCATAGATGCAACCTATGTTGGCCAGAGCCCTGGATGTTGCATCTGGAACATCGCTGTGTATAAGAAAGATGAATAAACAATTGGACTCTTTCAAAAAAAAAAAAAAGCTGTGTTAACTCAAATTGTTTGGTTCTTCAGCTTCTCACCACTGTCTAGACAAATTCAGGTCATTCTCGTGATACTCCATTGCTTTATCAAGTTCTCCCAAGTCAAAATAAGCATGTCCCATGCAACTATGCAGAAAGCACATTATCTCTTCTTTAATAGGGCAGTCTTGATCTGTCAATCCTTGAACCGTCTTGATTACGTCTTCTGTCTTGCAAAGACTGGCTTTTGTATTCCCTGCAGCCAGAGCTGCAATGACAGATGAAAACCAAAATCATTTTACACAAATACAAAAAAGAAACACAGTGGTGAGCTACAGGTTGAACAAGAAGTATATCGTACAACGAGATATCTCGTCAAAGCTCTTTATGAGATACTGAGCCTTCCGAGTGTTTAGGCTCGGTTTGGGCGGTTTGGACTGACGACTCGTTTCTTTGGGGGAAATCGGTTTCTCTTGGCTCCAGAAGTCAGCGCAGTGATTGAGAGACGTGATGCAGTTCTTAAGGAGGTCTCCCATTCGTTCTCCATTCTTCGTCACTCCCTTAATCAAATCTGAGTAGGATTGTACAACAGCTTTAAAAGAATGTTGTTCGAAGGTGAAACATAAATGAAATTCAGTTTGAAGAAGATATAAAAGTGGATGAAAGTGCTACATGTGGGCCAACTAAGGACTGACTTCTGCATAAAATAACAAATAGACAAATGCAAATGACAGTAGAAAGGCAGATTTGCACCTTCATCTTTCAGAAGCTTTTCCAGAAATCCCTTGTGTTCGTAAAACCCTCCCAGTAGATGTCTGGTGGTCCTCTCATACTTCATGGCCACTGGACTCCTATCTTTTTTGGTCAGATTTTGAACAACAGCAATCGGCTGCTTCCTCTTTACCAGCAATTTATTGAAAAACAAAAAGGTAGGAAAATCAATTTAAGCACAGATAACACAAAAGTCTCACACCATTCCTTTCTAAAATAACTGACTTCTATTAGTATAGGGAGGGTGTTGGACAAATTGGACACTAGAAAATAAGAAAATAGTGTTGAGAGTTATGTGTTTGCAACAGAAACAACTGTAAACTAGAACTGCACTCAGTTATAATGGGTCCCTTGCCCGACTGCAAGGTTCCTAGCCAGGTCGGGCGATTCTGGATTGTCAAAGGATTCTGGAAGATAGATATTAGTGATTAGAGATTTGCAAGTTGTTACATCCTGGAGGTGGCTGTCGAACAAAAATATAGCTAGTCAATGTCTAGCTAGTTGTTGAAAAAACTTTTTTTGTAGTTGGTGGCACAAAGGAAACTGTGGAATTTTTTATGGCTTCAAAATTATGGGCAATTTAATTTTGTAGCTACATACGTAGCTACAAAATTAGCATATATTGTGCTAGATTTCATTTGTCTCAGAGTTGATCATAGGGGGTGAGACTGGTTTTGGCTAATGCAATTTTCATGGCTCTCTGGTGAAAAATATTCCAGACAAACAACTTTTGCACAGTGGTTCATGTGTTACTCTGTTGGGTGCAGGTGAACGGCTATGCTTTACATTGGCCATCCATTCCCGCGGGCTTGCAACCCTAAATATTAAGATATTAGTGACAAATAACAGGGTAATTTTTTTCCATTCATGCATATGGGGAGTTAAGGCTTTCTCAAAACAACACTGATCATTTCATGTTGCACAATGCAGAAGGTCTTCAGGAATCATTTGGAAATGACAAGGGATGAGGATGTGTTACATACCAAAGATGGAATTAAAGCCAGATGTATTGTGCACATCCTACTATGATGAACTGATTACACACACATTAAGGTTTTACTATTGAGGCTAATCTCACTAAAGTGATACCAAATAAGGTCAGTTCTTTGACACTGGATGGTAGGATCAGGACAAAATGCCAAATAATAAAAACCCTTACGCCAATCTCTTCTTCAAGATATGTCAGGTCTCCCATAACTTCCG